CGTCGATGCTGAGGTGGCCACGATGCCCAGGAGGTGGCCGCACCGCTCAGGTGGCAGCCACACTGCTCAGGTGGCGGCCGCACTGCTCAGGTGGTGGCCCCGCTGCTCCGGTGGTGGCAATGCCACTGAGGAGATGGCCCTGCCATCACTTGGCTGCTACGGCAGGAGGTGCCTGCCCGGCCTTCGCTCCCTCCCGCAACAAGCAGGCAGGTCCGGCCGAGGTGGCAGAGCAGCGGCAGGAGGATTTCTGGCTGAGCATTTCCTATATTTACTAGAAATGCTCTGGCCAAGCATTTTCTGTATTTATTAGCCCCCAAAAAAAGCTGTGAGTTATCATTGCCTTTCATTATGGCAGTGGGTTAAAGGAGTGTTTGTGAGCACAAATACGACTTTTGTTAAAATCATACAGCAAAAAGCTTAGTGAGAACAGCCTGCAGCTTCCACAGAATAAAAAGTTTAGCAAGATTAAGAAGTGGATTTTTATAATTTGGTTTATAATATTTATTAGACATGATTGAAAAGCAGAATGAATTCTTAGTGGAAGAGCTGCAGCAATTTTTCACTTTGTCAGGAAATTATGACACTGCTTTCCAAGAAGTGATCAAACAGGAAAGCTACCAGGAAGCAGAGAGGCATCAAACCCTCGCAGAACTACCAAGTTCAGCCCGTGTTGGCTGAGGCAGGTCTGAAGAGCAGTTGTGTCTCGAGCAAAGCGACTGCTTCCCTTGTAATGACAACAGCAGCTCCCACCGGAGGAGGTTCCCGTGGCTCTCACTGAGCAGCCACAAGCTACAGCTTCTCACGTTACACTGCTATCCATTCGCTTCAATAAATCACAGCAGAATTTACAAAATCTGGCAGCTGCCTCCAAGGCGCAGGAGGCTGCAGGAAAAGGGGAGGACAGCGGGTGCTGAGGGGACTGGCACAGACACCCCTTTGGGGGGCAAAGACCCGGCCTGCAGCAGGTACCTGCAGCTCCTGTTGAGGTCAGGTTTCGGTGAAGCAGCACAACAGGCTTAAACCTTCATAAAGCCATGGCGTAAGAATGTTATTGTTCATGTTCATCGGTAACATTAATTGTTTTGAAGGTTACAATATTCACCAGCTCTGCCTGACCCCGATGTAAATCCATAGACTTCAGTGCAACAGTGCTTACCTCAGGAGGGCTGCACTTGGCATGGGAAGGGAAGTGATATTACTACACTGATCACTAAGCTGCAGTGTGGTTGGAATTACTATGCTTTATTGTTTACTCTATTTCTGAATCTGACTGTGTCATTTCATATCATAAAAGCAATCTGTATTTACAGCTTATCTGTCATAGTGCACTTAGATCATAACATGTAAATGAGAACACTACATGGAGTTCAAAGCTTACGAGGTCTCAGTTATTGCTCTGGGAAATTCTGTCTTCTTGCTCTCCTCCATCTCTAAACATCAAGCATCCCTTTGGTAGAAAGAAAACAGCAATAACTGCGAGGCAGAGACACAAATCTGAACAATACAGTCACACAAACTCACAGAATGGTTGAGGTTGGAAGGGACCTCTTGAGATCATCTAGTCCAACCCCCCTGCTCCAGCAGGGACGCATAGAGCACATCATCTTCTGAAACCTTATGAATGATCATTCGATCATCCTGAAAACATTTTCTGTGATCAGCACACACCGGTGTACCAGCAGCAGCCAGGAACATGAACACAGCTAACGGCATCCAACGCGGAAGGTGACAAGAGTCCCTGCGAGGCAGCAGCCGCCACCACCTTCCGTTGTGCCCCTAAGAGAAATCGCTCACATGCACGTATTTACCAACAGGTCTTTTGGTGTATGTGAGAGCTCTTCACATGCTATCCATATAGTGATAACAATATGTGTCTGCCAATGCTTCTGAAGGCATTAAATCCCTTGTTAGCACTTGTCAAAGCTCCACAATATCATCTAATAGAAGTATATAGGCACAGCACAAACCACTCTGCAGGACCCATCACTGTGGGACTTCAAAGGAAGAAAGACTGGTGTGCACCAAAACAATAGAATCCCCAAGGTTTTAGTTTCATAGTCTAATGTTTTCCTTGCAGAAACGCACACATAGCGAGTAATAATGAGATTTATAATGTTGAACTTATTGAAGACCTCACAGGATTCTTTACAAATAAACCCCATCACAAGCAGTTTGAAAACACTTTCTGCTCTCTCAGATATCCCTTGTTTCCTGTAAATGGAACAAGTACAAAAATAAGAAAGCCTCTCCCTTTCTTCCCTAGGCAAAACAATCCTTAGAACAATTAACATTACGGACTGTCAAAAGTGTTCAGACCAAAGTGACAAATGCAGTGAGTGGCAGGCAAGCCCAGCCCGACCCACCAGAACACTGCATGCTGGATTTGTCATGCAAATCAAAATGGAACCTGACATACTCTTTGTTCATTTTCCTTTCAAAAAATCTACTTTAAATGCCTCCCATGTGCCTTGTTTTGGGAGCTGACATTCCGAATGCATCAGTGCAAATTAAGGGAGGGATCTATTACCAATAAAGACGCTGGGATACAGAGAATTACAAAAATCTTATTGGAAAGACTAGGGCAAAAACTGGTGCAGCCTGCAGCTGTACTACTCACCAAATTGGCTGTTGCTCCTTCCCTTATGAAGCCTCTTTAAATAAACTCCACCAGTAGATCCTCAAATGAGAAGTTCTGGCAAGCCGTCACAGCCCAGTATTATAGATTACAGCCTGCAAGACAAGGATATGTTGTGAATAAGGAATAACAACAGTGGTTTTGCTTTATTTTGATTTAGATTTAAGGTAATCTGTATTAAAATGCATGAAGGTTAATGCACATAAAGAAAATGGTTAAATGATTAAAGTCGATTTAGACACATCTATTTTATTTATTTAAACTGGTTCACAAGATAAGTGTATAAACAGTTATGATTTTTCAGAAAATATCAGCAGATGTACAATATATTATAATTAACTAAAATTGTATGAAGAAGAAACTTTCAACAATGAGAGTGGTGTCCTGACCCCATGAACATAATTGGGAAAGTTTCACTGACTTCATCTGGGCCAATAGTTCATCCTTAGGGAAACTTCTGTAGCAATACCCTCAAAGGATTTCCTGAGAATATGGAGCTTTGTTTTAAAAACACATATAAACACATATATTAATAAAGCAGCTTGGAATATATTCTCAAAAATAGACTAACACACACTTCGAACTGCATTGAACTCCTGCATTATCATTTAGTTTCGCATCTGCTAAAACTGACCGTCAGTCAGCAGAAACAGTGATTTCAACACTGCATTTCAACTTTGAGCCTCAAAAAATATTCCAAGACTGTGAGACTGGTCAGTTAGTGCGATCCATACCTGCATTCATGTTGGTGCCTGCACCTGCCCTCGGTGGATGTTCCTGGTCCTGTTCTGCCAGGCAAACACTTGCCTGTCTCCATACAGCAGCACTGTTGGCCCTTACCCAGCAGTGTTACATCTGAATGCTGCTCAGAATTTCATTCACTCACTTATCTCTTCAATTTTATCAGCAAAAATAATCATATGAGCACTTTCATCCGATGCCTTAACAGAGCTACTATCAGGCAATTTACCCTTATACAGGGTCTCTTAAAGAGCTTTACTTTCTTCTTGCCATTGGCCCTGAACCTGAACTTTTATGAACCCGATTTCCTCCTTGTCGCTTTCAGAAGCTGTTTCTCCTCTGTAGCCCCGAGATATGAACCTCTATAAACAGGGAAATTTTACCAAAGGGGAATTCCGCCTCTGGAATTGTTTCCTTGCCAGTTCACATCTGGTACTCAGCACCTGATCCGTCTGCTTATCCAGGGGCTCAAATGGTAGCAGCTCTAACTACGCCTTTAATTTGACACTGTTGTTTGGTGGGTTGGGAAGTAGTTGATGTTCTGTCTAAATGCAGTGGGATTGTCACAATTATCGATCATATTTCAGCTGAAAATTCGTACCCAGGTGGAATGCCAGTCACATTTCAACAATTTGGAACTAAATTATCTCCTAATTACTCCCAATTGTCAATATCACAGATAGCATTTCTTAGTGACTTTTAACTTAATATTATTTCTTGTCCATACATTTTCACTGAGGAGTGTTGACAACTCTGCTAATATTAATTTATCTCACTGATCTGTGTGTGTGCTGAGAATGAGTAAAATTATGGCCTGGCCTTGCTTGTGGCACCATATCCTTACTTAGGAGATGCAAGTCCTTCCTCAGAGCAAAACCTTGTGTCGTTTAAATGCAAAGATATCAGTATTGGCATCAATTAAACTGGAACGCCAAAGAGCACAAATTGCGTCTAGTATAGATTTATTTCTCCTTCTAGAAAGTGGGAAAATGAGGGGTATTTTATAATTCTTGGTCACAATTTGCCTCCTGCTATGTTCCTCACCTCCTTCCATGGAGCTTTTTTTCCTTTGATGGAAGTACTTTGACCCCAGTCATGGCAACAGGCATGTGGCAACCCGGTAAAACTGCTTCTGGAAGTGTGGATAATTTAGACTGCAGTGGGCAGAACCACACGCCCCGAGCAGCATTCAGAAAACAGAGCAAATACCAGTAAATGCTTTCTGAAGCAAGCTCTAGCACACAAACCCCTGAAAACATGTCAACTTCCCCATGAAATGTTCGGGTAAGCTTCCATGTGTGTGAATGAATGTTGCACAGCTGGCAAACTGGGGCATATTAGGAGAATAGCTTCTGCCCTGATCTTCTGACTTAAGACATCGCTGGGGATAAAACTAAAAAAGTCTCATCTTATTAACGTGTATGCTGCTTAGCCATAAGAAAAATAATTTGGATCCCTGCCTGAGTATCAAATCTTGTCCTGTATTTAAAGCTAATATTAACTTATCTTTTGACTAATCTGAGGTTTATTTTTTACTGTCCTTTGACATATTCTAAACCTCCTTCTTTTTTATGATTGATTGAAGCTTTCGTTCCTGCACTGTCATCAGACCTTTTGGTGAGAAACTTCTATTCACATCTGCAAAGTACTGAATTCTCACACCTTCCCAGCAGTTTCTCTTTGATCTCTGCACTTCTGAGTTTAATTATTAAGTTTGCATCAAAAGCCTCTTTTTTTTTTTTTTTTTTCTGTTGCTGCATCTTCACTGTTTCCTTGACTTGGTTAAGATTCCTGAAAGGTCTCTCAGAATATTCTTAGGATAGTTTTGTAGTAAGTACTACACATGGTAGATCTTTAAAAATAGAGTATGAATAGCATGATTCCTATTCCTTTTTTTTTTCTTTCTTTCCTGGATTAAATAGCGTTTATACATCATGATTTGGCATGATCTTTTTGCTGTGTATTTTGTTTGTTATACATATTTTTGTTTTGTTTGTTATACATTAAGTTTTATAAATTTTCTTCTGAATTTAGCACAAACAGGACATCTACAGATCTTCTGTAAAAAAACTGGCAAAAAATCTGGATTAAGGCCACATTTTTATTTTCTGAAGTTCTAAGTGGATATTTTATCTTGGTCTGACTGTGTTTATGTTAAAAATCTTATTTTTTTGTTTTTAATTCACTGTGTGAAATGTATTTTTCTGTGACGAATACTGTTACTGTTAGTAGACATCTGAGCTTACAGAAGAATCAACCTAACAGATATGTGACTTTTCTAGAGCAAATTTTCATAGTGCTTTGGAAATAATTCTGATATTTTAGTCCACTATCTAAACACTAGAGACAAACAATGCCAATAAAAACCACGGAGCAGAAATAAATCATTAACTGAAGATCACGGAATACATTTCACTGCCAAAAAGTCAGCAGAGATGTAGCAGAATATCACTAAGAGAACTCCAGAGCAGTGACACAGATTTCTACTGAGCAATAATGACTGAGTAATAATCATCCCTTATTTTCACTATATGAGTTCAGAAGAGAAGTGATTCAGCAATGCAGGACGCAGCGTGCATTCGCTTTTACTCCCTACAATTAGGCAGACGTGTGAGGGACCTGCTCGCCCAGGGCTGGGCATTATGGGTGCATTAAGATTCCCCGAGGGCCAGGTTCCTTGAGTGCTGCTCCTGAAATACATTTGAACAGCTCGGTACAAAGGCAGTCCCCAGGCAAACACATGAATGAGAATCACAAGTGGCTGCTCTGTCAATCTTCCCCACACAGGGCATTCATGGCCATGCATCACAACACTTGCCCTGCGACGTGACATCCTCGCTCTTCCCTTTGCCGTGCTTCAGTGCAGTTGTTCCCTTACAGCGAAGTTCATTTTCTTAGTTCCCTGCTGGTAAAAAACAAGGCAGCAGCAGACATTAGCATGCAGAAAAGCACACGGAAACCGAGAGCTGCCACCCCAAGTGCAATATGATCCTGCCATCCTAAATATACCCAGGCCTCTGCCCATCCGCCCTCACAGTCCTGCCCAGGAGGCTGCCGGGACGCCGTGTCTCAGGCTGCAGGATGATGTGGCCCTTGTTTACGAGAGGCTGCGAAAGCGCAAAGCGAGGGTTGGCTTTCGCCTTCCACCTACGTAGGGAAGAGCGCATTATCTAATAATTTCCATGGCCTGTTGCTGCTGATTCAAGTTAAAACATAACGAAAATGAAAAATGGAAATGGGACCAGCAAGTCAGCTGTGAGCATGCAGTACATTCCTCTCTTCCCTCACATGGCCTGCAGAATGAACCAATAAATACTAGATGAAATTATCTCCACATCTAGTGCAGTTAGTTCAATATAGTAAAAGAAAGAGAAATATATCTGCAGATGCATGTTTGTTTATGTTTGTCTTTGTTCCATAGCATATAATTCAATAGAATTATGCTAGAAGAACTTTCATTTGGTCCGAGCTCCAAATATACTGGGTATTGAATTTCCTCTTTAAATGAGAATTTCTCTTACAACATTTCCATGCTGAGATAGAGTAATTTGGAGAACTGAAAGGTGGAAAGCAGCATAGGCGCACTACAGGCAACCGAGAAAAGCATGTAATGATGAAATGAAGGAAAAAAGTCATCAAGTGTTATAAAATATACTGACACTTTTTCATGCATATCTAAAGAGGGAAAAAATCACTGCACTTCAGCCTTTTGGGATGACAGGAATGTTGGGTATGTATGGATTGCAATAAGGCTTGGGAAAAAGCGATTTAGAAGTAGCATATGTTTTCAATCCGCAGGAAACAAATCTGATCTTTTGGATATCAAATGTAAATCCCACTAACAGTATGTGAAAACAAGAATGGATTGGCCATCTTGAGCCATAAAAACTGACATATTATAAAAGCACACTATTTCTGCTTTTGCTGCTAGGAATTTGTTCCAATAGCAACCCAGGTTTGCTAGTGATTGTTTCTAGTGCTTATCCTATTGAATTTAGGCTTTTTGTTTTGTTTTGTTTTATTATATCAGAATATTTTTGCATTTATGGCAAACAAATACACTACTTGTCACCTTTTATTTCTTTAATTTTATGAGCTGGTATCGATTTTTAGTATTCACTGCAAAACTTTATTGAACTACTTTATTAGAAAACACATTTTAACTAGCTTCACAGATACTCTGGCATCTGCCAAAGGCGGCCATCTTCTTTCTGTTACCTGCTATATAGCTGGAATATCTTTTTTTAATCAGTGCATCTGTGAAACCAGTAACTGTCTATATTACTAGCCAATTCTATGATATTATAGCCAGGAGCAAAAGCTTATTTATTCTGAAGAAAGCATAATTCCCTTCAAATTTAAGAAAGAAACGAGCAAAAAATCTTTGCTTCTCGCTTCTACCTGTGCCAAATAGTTACTTCAGTTCTTCCATGCCCTGCGCTCTTTCTAGCTATTCACACTGTGAAGTCCCAAATATTTTATATCTGAGTTTTGGAGGCTCTTTCAGCATCCATCTCTATACTCTTTTAAGTACATGTGAACAGCCCAAGGCAGGAGCTTTAAAGAAACAAATGACAAAATGAAGAATCTTTTTACTAAACAAGTAAAACACACTAAAGCTGTGGAAGCTGTAATATTTGGCACTGTCCTATGTTTCCAGAGGGCCCATACGCACTTTTTTTTTGTGTGTTGTGATATTCTGCCCCACTAAAGCTGGAGTTGCATCCTTAGTTTCTCCATTCACAAGCAGATCTGACTCCAGTGCCAAAGATTAATTGCCTAATTATCTTTCTTACTCCCTTTTGGAAAGCTGCCCTCTGGCTCCTCCTCTCGGTTTTGAAATCTAGAAGGACGAGACATCAGAAGTATCTGAGCCTTGCAAACAGAGGGGATAGATTAGGGATAGATTTTAGGCTCTGAACAACTTTCAAGTACAAAATTGCAGCTACGCAACTTTTTAGGAGCCTCTTTCACACATATTGCAATATTTGTTACCTTTTGTCACTTAGCACAGGAAATCACTGACCTCAGAATCAACCTTGGATGGCTTAAACATACTGCTTGTTGGCCAAGCTGTGGCTGTCTAGTCTACAGATCTTCAGAAAACTGGAAAATACCCCATGTAACAGAAGCGTCGCTGAAAAATCCTCTGTCATGTAAAGTGTCTGTCCTCAGAAATGCACAGTGCATCTAACCTTGCCACTGCCAATAAGCAATTAAAGAAGTGTTCAGCAAAAACAAATGAGTGAGAACAGAGAAATTCAATGGGAAGATATTCAATGGGAAGATAAGAATCAGGCGACTAGAACGCAAAGCAAACAAGAGGATGACAAGGATGAAGTATGCAAATGCCTACTTTATAAATAGAAGATCAACCAACAAACAAACAAACAAAAAAACCATAACCAGTAACAATTTATTCCTTTCTCTTTATATGTGTGTGTGTATGTGGTGTATTTTTTTCTCCCTTAAAATCCAGTACGGTTAATAACAGACAACTGAGACATCAGATTGGAAGTCCCTTCTGTTGATAAACTAAGGCAAATTTACAGTGCATCTTAGTTTGATAGGTAATTTTCCTCTTAATATTTTCACTTTATTTTTTGTAACACTGGGAATTAGAAGATAGGTGGCATAGTCCAAGCATCAGTTGCAGCCAGTATCAACATCTGAGGCTGTATTTCACACACACATGCCGCTTTTACCCTAGTTTCTCAAAAGATATCCCACAGAATTGGGAAGCTGTCAAAATCTTCCATATCCTGAGGCAACCACACTGCTGGCAGGGATGAGTTTGACCAAATAAAGCTGGTTTTAAGCTGAATTTTCTCACCGCATCTCCTGTGCCTCAGACCCCAGGCAGGTCAGTGGGTGTCCAACAGGCCTGGCAGTGGCACAACCTCCTCCCGCCCGTGTCCTCACCGAGCACGAGGGGCTCCTGACACCCTCCCTGCGTGGGGACAGGGAAAGCCGGGGGACATTTTACCTCAGTCTTCAGGCCACCCTGCCCCGGCAGCAGAGGAAGCCTGAGGAAACCTCAAGGGTCGGGAGAGAAGAGTGAAGCCGCGGGACGAGTCAGACCTCATGTCCGACCCACGACGGCCGTTTCGTTATTTTATTTTCTTATTTATTTATTTATGTTAACCACAAAAACGATTTCCGAGCGCGATGCGGCTCGGGCTCCCCTCAGGCGGGCGCGGGGGGGCGGGGCCGG